TAAGAGCAATCGAGAGTTTTATAAAAATATTGACACAAAACGCCTAGGTTGAAGATTCGACCAAGTCATGGTGTTTGTGTCCTATATTCGCAGTTAGAAAAAGAGATCAAAGGTTTTAGGTAAACAACAGTGCTTCTGCTATGTTCTTACATCTGCTATGGACCTCACCAATCATCACAACGTCTTGTCTTGTATTAACATTGCATCAAATCTTTTAGAGTTTTTGTCGAAAATAAAAAGGCAATCATTAGATCGTTTTGTCGAAAAAAAATTCGTTAACAATTAAAAAAATTCATCTATAAATTTGTTTTGTTCAAATACATCAAACTTTGTCACCGCGATATACCGGGTGTAACAGGTCTATTTAAATTTAAATAGACCTGTTACACCCGTGTTGTGTCCATCATGAATGCGTACAGCACAATTTTCATTATCATCATTATTTCRAATCTACTGTTCGTCTTCTTCCTTTCTGTTTCTGACCAACCTTGCCTTTAGATACCACAGTATAAACAAAAAATTGGGTTCGATATTTTTGTATAACAGTGTAAAAAAATTATGAGTAGTACAAATCACATCCATATACAGAATGCTACAAAGAACTATTTATTTATCATGTTGTCCGATAAATAATTAAAACTGCAATTAACCAKAAACCTATTCGGTGCAAATCTGTTATCTTCAAAATCCAATGGTGGTAATAATAGAAAACAGTTATCCATATTCAGACTTTTTTTAAACAATTTAATAAATTGGATCCAGAAAATAATATATCATTATAACAATTTAACGATTTTAAGGAACTTCATCTTAAAATTGTGTAAATGTTTATCAACAAAATAGTTAGTAGTTTTTTTTGTTACGGGCAAGAGTCGTAACAATTTTAACTTTAGGGATTTAGAACCATTCTCATTTTTAAAATCATAACAGTGTATTGTAAGTTTTAACACAAATCAGACCAAAAACAAAAGCATTAATGGTACATTTAGTCACGGACCTCGGAAACACTACTGAAAACTACTCAGATTATATTTTGTACACTCTTCTACAGCAGGAGAAAATTTAGTCTCCAGTGTCTCGATGTTTTTAGTCATGAGAACAAAATGTGATTCCTATTTGAACATATGGTTTTTTTAAGAGTCTATCAGAAATAATAAGCCACCCCTATTTCAGTCAACTAAAATGTTTAGTATTTATTTCTAGAAATTCTAGGTCTTTTATAATGGAATTGTTTAGTGGCTGGGTATAGTTCTTGTGATCTTAGATAAARTTACTAAGTTCATTTTGGGTTTCCTTAATTCAAAGCTTAATTAAGAACGATGTTATTAGTGTTGTAATTGTTGTAAATAATCTGTTTAATTGAAATATATCAAGCATGGCTACTATGGCATATAATGTCGAAGATAATTCGCATATAGCACGATTGTGTTTGTAACTATTATCACAAAACTAACGTTCATGTATTACCTAATTACTCCTAGAGTTTTCTTCCTGTTGAATACTTTGACACTTCAGTACGACTAAAGCCTGTTTTTGATATTTTATGTTTATAAGTATAAAAATACAAATGCCGATATGCACCATACTGTTATATCGGAAGCTAAGAGGGGCCATTTATGTTTTTTATCTTCCGACAAATAGTCACCAATGCGATACAGTAAAAATCCTTCCATCACAAACCGTTATTCTCAAAATCCTATACTGGCATAGAGTTATTTTTTTGATATTTTATAAATTTAATCCAAAAAATAATATATTATAACAATTGAACAGTCTTAATAAATAACTTCACCTTAAAATTATATAAATATTTAACAACAATATAGTTACATGGTATTCTTGTTCCGGACGATAGTTGTGAAATTTATAATTTTAGAAATTTTTAGTCATTATTATTTGTAAGATCATAATTGTGTAGTGTGAATTTTGACAGAAATGAAATCACCAACAAAAGTATTAATAGTAATACTACTCATTAAAACGCGGATTATATTTTGTACCTTCTTAAATRGTAGGGGAATGTTAGTCATCCATTGTCTCGATTTTTATTTATGTAAATAGAGATTGATCTCATTCTGTTTCTCCAAACTTTTTTTCAGAGTCAATGTTAATTAATGACAAATTTATAACTCTTGTTTTAATCTCTGAAGGATTGATGTTATGGTTTTTCAATGATATGTATTGCGTTTGATCTTTTTTTTTATTGGGAGACTCATTTTAAAGTAAAAAAAAAAATTATTAGATTTAAGACTTAGAGTATTGTTTTCGTTAAGAAATTCCATCTCCTCCGAAGTCCGAAAGAGGATAAAATAAAAAAAATCTCGTTTTGTGTTTTCATCAAATGAATTCTAAACCACAAAATATTTTACAAATATTTATTTGTTTTATGAAATTCGTCAAAATTTTAACTTAATTAAAAAAATAATTGTCATTAATATTCAATATTTTAACATCCTATAGGTTTCTATATTTTGGAATCTTTATGCCATATTATCATTTATTATGATAAAAATTCAAGGATCAAATTTTCTAAAAATTTAAAAATCATCTAAAATGTATCATTGTTCATCTTATTATTATTTATTTTTAATAATGTTGTTTAACATCCTATAGGTTTCTATATTTTGGAATCTTTATGCCATATTATCATTTATTATGATAAAAATTCAAGGATCAAATTTTCTAAAAATTTAAAAATCATCTAAAATGTATCATTGTTCATCGATATATTTCTTAATATATAATAACCAGCAATTTCTTATTTTGTCAGATATTAAACAACATTATTAAAAATAAATAATAATAAGATGAATTATGAAGTTAAACATAATAACCAAGTAAAAAAATATTGCATATATTGCACCTATTTATCAAATTCTGGATTTTACTTAAACGAAGCCAATGAAAATAGTTTGTTTTACATGCTTTCAATTAAAATTGATTRAGGAAAAATTGTTTTATTAAATTCTTTCGTATAGCAACTCGATATTTACTATTTAATCATTTAAAAAGTCTTTTGGTTATTAATATATGCTATTGGATTCGTTTTTAAAATTCTAGAAGAAGTGAAAACTTYCGATCTAAAATTTATAACTACTTAGTACTTATATATATCATTATTTATTACTGTCTTAATCATTAATGTAAAATTTAATAATTTTTTTTTACTATTCATCTGAATTGTATTAGATTGTATTGTATTATACCTAGTCCGAGCTTTATGTAGCATTATACATTGTGTGGTTGAATGCATTGTATTATTATAAAATTATTTATAATTTAAGATATGTATTGATTTTTTTCTTCAAAATAAAATGTRTGGTATAAAATATTTTTATTTTACGTTCGAACATTCTTGCATTTAGGTATGATAAAATATGTTCTCTATGATAAATCATTTTTAATGTCATAATTATGTACACGTACCTATACCTATTTATCAAAAATTAGAAGTTCGTTTTCCTAAGAATTTTTGCTATTACCTATGTGAAATTATTTTAGCTAATTTTTTTTTCAATCAACTTAATTATGTATAACTAAGATGTTTAAATCAATACTGTTTGTAAATTGTTTGCATAAAATAGAATTAATTTAAATTAATTCTGTTGTGATTAAATATGTATAACTTATACCTAGTTTAAATCAATAATGTTAATTTGTATAAATAGGTACCTTAATTTATTTTATATTGTAAATCTTTTTGWACAATGCATCTATTGATCTGKAGTTTTGGATATTAATAATAAATTAATAAATATTATACATGTTTTATTCATTATTTGCTAGGAATACCTATATTTTAATATTTAGAATAGAGAAGCCAAAATTTGTTTTTACTC